GTCCATGTCGAGAATTGTTCAGCACTCCTCATAAAACTGATGAATTTGAATGCGGGGCATTGCTCAGCCAGATATTTTTGTTTTTGACACATTCCAAGATTCAGTAACTTCTCCATAATCAGTTTTTGGCGCATTGTCACTCATTCTAAAATACTACTACTACTACTACTAATAATAATAATACCACTATTACCACCACCACCACCACCCCACCAATAATAATAAAATAATAATGATCTACCGAAAATAAATCATATTTTATTCCTTCTTCAATTTAAGAAGGAATAAAAAATAAACCAATTTTGGTATTTTAAAAATATACATTATAACAGTTGTGAAAATACAAGGTAAATTGATTATTATGAATATAGTTATTTAAACTATCATCATCCTCATCATCATTTTCACCACTCTCCGACCTCCTTATGGATGGTCGGAACTCCATTGACAATCTCTTTCCACAATGTTTGGTTCTGTATTGCTGCCCTCAGATCCTCAATACCCAATATGTTCCGATCTATATTGTCTGGGAAGTCAATATTCGTGAGAAAACACTTCCAGGAGGCTGCCTATAGGAGTAAGGATGAGACGATTTCCCTGTCCACTCGGTGGCAGTGGCTATAAATTTATAAATTTAAACTATGCATCCCTAGTTTAGTGAATATCGTTGCTATATTTTGTTTGTGGCGCCTGCTATATAATCTCAAGGTTCTCAAAAGAGGATTTATACTGTTATTGTTCCTGGCCTAGCATCTCGACTTGAGGCACTTTCCTACTGATGTGACGTTGTTTCCATTGATCTTTTCTAAAAAAAATATATATTCATGGCAGTTGTGCCAATGAGCTGTCCTTCTTGGTACCTCGGCTGCATGAATTTAAGCGTACTACTAGATTGGTAACTAGCTGTTATCGTTTTAATATTGAATTAGCTAGATGCAATCGCAAGTTCTATTCTAATATTTTCTTTTCTCGAATTTTCCGCCTGTGGAACTCTATTCCGCTTTTTTGCTACCCTGCCACTCACTATCATCAAAAATTTAAACGAAACGTCAATCACAATATTCTGTTTCTCTGGGGCTCTGTTCTTTTAGTGTCCTTTACCTTCGTTAAAGTCTTTTCATTCTCTTTTACTCACAGTAACCCCTGGCGTCTTAGTGACATTATCGCCTTGCTACCGGTGAAATGGTTTTAAAAAATCTAATGAGAAATTTAAAACGAAATTTTGGTCAAGCCAGTATACAGCAAGCTATATGATATAATCTTGCACTTGGCTAATTTTGAGCAAATGAATTGTTTTGTTTATAGAGGCATAACGCCAGAATTAATGTAAAAATATTAATTTTGGGCTTTAATACCTAGAATTGATATTTCGTTTGAAATTTGGCAGGTTTATATTTAATGTTTTTCTTCATCAGCACGCGTGATCGGGAAATTAAATATATTTTCCATGATGCGTTAGTTGCTTAGAAACCTTGTCTTCTCTGTATCATGTCCCTTCAGGACATTGTCGATCATAGCGTTCCATAATTTTCTACACTTTGTAGCTGTTAGATATTTCGTGTTTTTATTCTAACTCGTAATACCTGTTCTGCTATCTAGTTACGTAGGTTACACGCCGTTTCCCTCTGTCCCGAGGCATGAATCCATCTCCTCTCCCTAGGTATGGGTTAAATCGTAAGACTTGTATCTAGAAGAAAATCATTGTTATTCTCAAATAATTGATAATACACTATTCACTCGTACAAAAAGAATTCTTACAATCCCAAATATGTCACGAACAGTTTCTAAAGACTAAGAAACAGTCATTCCAATCCTCTGTCTCTCACTTGCTTTCAATATGTCCTGAGAGTGTCAAATTTTCCAAGCTTTCTTTCCTCGTAGATATTCCAACTCTTTTTGATTCTAGGCATAAGTATACTTTTTGTTTCTATTTTCCATACACACTTCATACATAGTTTTACTAACATCCTTCTGCAGAACCAAGTCTCTGTGATGCCCTGTCTTGCTTTTGTAAAAAAAAATCACTAGTTTTCATGTCATATAGTAGGATTAATATAACGTAACAGTTTAGTACTCATTTCTTTGTTTCGAACAAAATTTTCTTGTTTCTTCATACAGCATTTAGTTTTTGGAAAACATTATTCTGTTCCAATGCGCCTTTCTAATTCAATATTATATTTTCAGTCATGTGTTAAAACACTTCACAACTTACAGAAATTAATATACATTAACTTAACTCTCCTGCTTACCGGAATTTTCATAGCCAATCCCTAACAAAAACAGGGAGTCGAGTTCGAATCCCAGTCGAATTTGCTGAATTCACTTATGCGCAAAACCTTTAGAAAAAGGTATGCATTCGTCTTTTCTTCCTCACCTATTGGTTAAACAGTAGAACTTGTCTGTTAAAAATCATTGTTATCTCCAAAACGTTGTCAATTCATTTCACGTATATATATATATATATATATATATGTATATATATATATATATATATTATATAATAAGTGATAGAAATTAAGGAGGATTTGAGATAATTATAATTTAGTAATTCATCGAGTCTCGAAGAAAACTCAACAGAATGCAGTAAGCACTGGACGGCTGTTTCGTCCTATATTTGGTATAGTTGGTATTACGTCTGCCTCATATCGTAACTGTTGGGTTTCAATTCTCGCTAGTAGATGTGCACTGCTGATAAGTCCCAAATATAGGACGAAACGGCTGTCCAGTGCTTTCTGCATTCTGTCGAGGTTTCTTCTAGACTCGATGAATTACTTAATTATATATATATATATATATATATATATATATATATATATATATATATATATATCTAGGCTTTAAATAACCCACAAAGTGTTGATAAACCTAAAAAAAAAAAAATGGAAAATACCATTTCTGTGCTTGTGAAATTTATTAATATTATTAAAATGATTACCGTATATATTCTGGTATTTTACGACCTTTGAAAAACAAATTTTGTAGCTATTTTGACTACAGTAAATGGATTTATAATTTGGTCAACAGCGTAGCTAGGGCCAGTAGTACATACATCAATTTTGTATCTCGTGTATGTTGTGACCCCCCTAAATTTAGCTTCATAATTAGGTCTTCAAAAGTCGTATGATACGCGAGTATATACGATATATATTGGACAATATCAGGTTCGTCACAAAGCTAGATTGCTGAACTCATTAGTACTGACTTGAACCATTGTATGTTAATTCAATTTCTATGGTGAGTAACCTACATTTAAATAAAATTATTGATATTAACCCTGACTCAGTACAGTATAAGGTTACAAATATGAGATATTAAACAAGGATTGAATTCTCGGTTACGGTTATGGTTTGGAAGACTGGGTCACTGTTCCATTGTAAAACATTTACTCTTTATAATAGCCATTCTCACTTTATTGGTTTCTTTGTTGGCTTTCTGTCGTGCTAAAGCAACAGATAAATAGACAAAGGGCATTACGAATATAGAGAAAGAAAATGGCCTCTACAGTGAACGTTTTCTTTTCTTTTTAAGCTCACACGCACAGCTGGTAATATCATTATTAACATTTCTAATGATGAGGACTCAGTTCCGTTGCTATCGTGTTCGAAAATTATTACTAAAACGAAAATACGTAGAACTATAAATAAATATAAGAAAACGTATGCGGTTTTATTACTTACTTTGTATATTTTTGTGTAATTTACTCGTACATAATTATCCCTATGACACCCAATATTAGACAATCTCATCACAGACTTTAGGCAGCAGAAATGTGGTTCTACAGAAGGATGCTGAGAATACACAGACTGAACATGTGAGCAATGACGAAGTTTTAGAGAAAAGAAAAAAAAATGAAACTTATACCGATCATCAGAAAGTGACAGTTGAAATTTCTCTGGCATATAATGAGGAAAGAGGGCGTAGAAAATTTGACACTCACAGGCCATACTAAAGCAAGGGGGACTGAGGAAAGTAGTGCTTAACGTACCTAATAAGATTTTGTTGTTTTTGTGTTGGATTGGGAGAGACGGCAAAAAGACAAACTTTACTAAGAACAACAAAGCCCTGGGTATTGTGGAGCGCTATGATCGTTCACGTCCTGAAGGGACAAGGTACATAGGAGAATTAATTTGTTATAATGATTTTTCAAGCGTAGCTTAGATGTGGCACAAGGCCGAAAGTATGGGGCACCCAGTGAGCATCGAACTCACTATTCAGTCGTAATTAAACTTGATAACCATTACACCGCCTCGAGGTGCCTAGAATTAATTTGTTATAGCTACGATATTTTTGACCAAGCCTAGTACCCGTTCAAATATGTCTGGTCTCATTCATCCTCTGAATGTTCCCTCTCCAGCCGTTTTCAGTTGAAGATTAAAACTAAAAACCAGGGAATTCATTTTCAGAACTTCTATTATAGATCACAAGCATTTATTTCAAACCGGCAGCCGCTTTCTTAAAATAGAAGAAAGGATATGTAAATCTGAGGATTCTTTGAAATGCCACTGTTTTTTACGGAGTGCATTTTCATGTTTAAAAGTTAGACAAAGTATAGCCAAATAGAGATATTTTCTTTGAATCGTGTTTCCAAAATAAAAAAAAATAAAACTTCAACCAATAACATCGATAACATTATATGGAAAGTAGAAAAGTTGAAAAACAGACATTATAAATATCGACAAAACCCTCCTGGTCGATTCAATATAAAAAGAAGAATAACACAATTAAAACATGAAAAAAAAAAACAAAAAAACTCAGCGTTTGATTTAAAGTTAGCAAAAATGACAGTCGTTTAACTACCGACGGGTTGATTTAAGCTTTATATATTTTTCTCTCTCAAGCGTCTAAAATACGTCTGTTTGTATCGATCTTATTGTTGACGCTATGGACACTTCAGGCGCCATTTTATATGCATCTTACATTACTCCCAATTGTTTATTTTTAATTCCATCGTTCTTATTTTTGCTGGTACTACTATTTCTACTACTATTACTACCACTGGCTTACGGCTATATCATGTTGAAACGTCGGTTAACCTAGGACCACCGAAGTTAAGCAACGTTGAGCCTGGTCAGTACCTAGATGGGAGACCGCTTGGAAATACCAGGTACTGTGAGCATTGATGTGTCGGCAGTGTAATGGATAATGGCTCGGAATTGTTAATCAGAGAGTCGAGTTCCAATTCCAGTTGGGTTCGTTATATTCACAGACACGCAAGTACCCTTGGGAAAGGTATGAATTCACCAGCTATGAGTTAATTAGTAAGATCATTATTATCTTCTTTATTATTGTCTCCTGTTTAGGATTGGCTTTCCGGTTCCTTCTAAAGTCTGCTTCCGCTCTATACTTCTAACGTCTCCGACTGAACTCTGAAATGTTATTCATTAATTAAATCTTGCCATCTTCAAATCTAGAGTTAGCCGATATCTTTCCTGCAAAGCCCCCCCAAAAAAAAAACTTCACTTGTTGTCCTTTCTCACGCTAATACAACACCACACAGTAACAATCTACCTCGAGTGGCTATTGGTCCTCGAAATGAGTGAACATTAGTAAAATAAAAATAAACACAAAAATAACTTGTCTGCAAAAGTGATTCACTAACCGTCCCAAGAGACAGGTGTGACCGAAAAATGAATAGCTGGTCATTATTTTCATTACAATGCTAATATTTTTTAATACATGTATAGAACAATGCCACTTTCGGAAAAATAATATACAGAATATAAAATCATAACTTTTCTTATTTGTAATTTATGTAAAATTCTCGGACACGTGAAATATAAAATTCATTATAATAGATTGAAATATGTAATCGTCATCTAAAAGCAGTCGCTTCAGCAACAATATGGCGGATGTTCTGATGATTTCCCGCTTAATGTCTCAGCGTGTCGAGTTCATAACATTAAATTTAGCAGAAATGCCATTGGAAAAAGATATGAATCCATCTCTTTGCTGACAGCTATAGGTTAACTAGCAGGGAAGACCGGGTTTTCTAGATGTGGTTGTTAACCAGTCTAAGTGAAGGAGAACTCTTCTCTGCGGCCATCAAAAAGACCGTGGAGTCTGCAAAGACTATGATCTCGACTGCAGTCTATGCGACAGATGATGTAATACGATAGTGTGGGCTTTTCTTATCTTATTTGTAACGATATCGTCTTTGCTTCAAAACAAACTTTATGGTTTCCATCAAACTGGTATTTATTCGTTACTTTGATCTCATTTGAAAATAAATCTTTAAGAATAGTTAAAATGAACATTTAGTGTCTTTGTAATTTTTACATTGTTGTGGACGCATGATTTATTTTAAGAACCTATGCTCTAACTACAAATAACGGCGCGAAAGTTGGAATCGTCGAATCAAGTTAAAATTCCGACTTAGTCTGTTGCATTCGCTTTCGCGCAAACTCCCTTGGTAAAAAAAAAAAAAAAAAAAATACGCATCTTTCTCCTCTCAGCTATTGGCTAAATTTTAGGGTAGAATGTGCTCTTTAGCCTTGGATTGTAACAATTTTAAGAGAATGAAACCTCTGATTTCCAAACTGAGTCTACATCCGACGGGAAGGCCTCTGAACAGGATATTGAAGGTTTTGAGGAGCGTAGAACTACCTCTTAATTGCTTTCGTCCCTGGTCCATCCTGGACCCGGATGGTAGAACCTGTTAGGATCCCATCTAGTAAAGAGTGAGCCCCCCCCCAAATAAAAATAAAACGATATAAAAGTATAAAAATACATTTTCATAGTAAAAATACCAGCAATATATTTTTATATAAAAATTACCAACAATACATATTTATAGTACAATAATCAACAATACACACATTCTAACAAATTGTAGCGACTTCACCTAAATCTGTTTAAAATATTGTCGAACAACCAACATAAAAAGAACATTCATGACATTAAACCATATACTATCCTAGAGTGTCTTAAATCAAATTTAATAAAAAATATAAGTTCAACAAAACAACAACATAAAACATACACATCATCGCCTCTACTAATTATGTCCACAAATATTTATATGCAAAAAACGCTGAGTATCATCTACCATGTATTCAATTGTGAAAGCAGAATAACATATAATATTTTTATTACTTCTAAGCACACAAGAAAATTAAATTCCGGCATTAAATAACCGATAAAGAGTTGATATGCCGTTAAAAATATAAATCGATAATTCAACCGAAACTGGAGAAAGGACACTGTCACATCAATTCATTATATCTCCCGCGACGTCACAGCAATTTATGGATGATAAAGGGAAGGAATCTGTGGAGATCCGTAATCGGCTACGTCCTAAAGAGACATTTCATAAAGATTTCTAATACGTGTCTTTGAGTTCGGATACACAAATTGTAACCATCTGTATTAACAATTACGAGTAATATTCTTACTTTTAATGTTAGTTTCTATTTCCTGCTTGATAGTGTAAAGTTTTCAGGTGAGGCAATTTCGATGATGCATTTGTAAAAAAAGAAAAAAAAAGAAAAGAAGACAGTACTGAATGCAGAAAGATTTTGCTTTCACGTGTTAAAAGTTATATAAAAAAAGAATTTAATAATTATGATAAACATCCCTAAAAGAATTGGTGTTTGTACAAAAGATATTCTTTAACAAAGATTCATTTTCATAGTGAGAAGACATCCTCTTTGAAAAGCAAGTATATTGTAATTTCTTATAGAGAAATTTAGATTCGATGAATTCAGTGGGTATGATTGCACTTACTATTTTATTTTGTAAATGATCACAAAGTCTCAAGCTGTTCTTATAAGTTCATGCTGATTGACCTGTGAAAGACTAATGGGAAGTATTAGACTATGAAGTCGATGAAAAGAAGAAATAACCATAAACTGGAAGATTTTAATGGTTGATTTGTTTTTACGGCTTAGCAATCCTTTGTAGATTATTTAAAGCCGAAATATGTTTTTGATTGTAAGAATAATAATTTTTTGTGAGTGAATATTGTATTAATAATTTTTTGAGAATGATTAATTTTTCCGGGTACAAGCCCTACTATTTAACATAACTTTGGGAAGGTGACCGGTATTTGCGTCTAGTTGAATGTAACATTTTAGTAGAGATATGGTATGCTGAGAATACCATGGGCGATACATATGAGCAACGAGAAAGTTTTAAGGAGTATGAAAACAAAAAGAACACTTATACACAGTATATGGAGAGAGGTGAAATTTCTGGGACACATAATGAGGAAACTGTCGTAACACTAACGAATTACATCAGCTGGCGATCGAACGCCACAAATGCGGAAGGAACCCATCAGCGTACAACCGGGTAGCGACCGAACTTGAGACACCGACCGAACCAAATGAAACAAACCCTACCGCTGTAGTCAAAACTCCCAATATTTGTAGCAACTCGTTAGGTCTTGTCTAAATGTATGGCAGAACAGAATTTCCGACCTTAGGTCTCTGGTTTGGACCCGGAAGGAAATATCTATAGAACAGAAATAAAAGGAAATAATAATCTTAAAAATTGCAAGGGGGGGAGGGGAAGCGCGTTAATAACATTTTTGCTGGGGTGGAATTTTTCGAAGCCTAATAAATTAATGTTGACACCAAAGCCGAGAATAGTATACCAGGAATACGTATCACAGCTAAATATGCGCAAAGTGATGGCAGTTTTTGTTAAAAGCAGAACATAATCTTTCATGTAAGGCGCAGACAGAAATACCTTTCAGTTAGGGAAACCCAGTCTGTTCATAAGGTCTGCAAGTATTTCGTTCAAACTCCCAAGTCACCCTAGCTGCCTCATCCTTCAAATATAAACAAAAACAACACTTTCGACAATGATGCACCCCCATTACTCCCGCTCAGAAAAAGAAATACACAATGTATCAGGCCTTAGGTGAAATACCTAACTGCTTAACGTCAGTCAACTGAAAAGCTAATCTGGGACTGAATGTGATATTTACAGTAGCACCTTAATTAAAAAAAAAGATAAGAGTGTATATATTAACGCTTACAATATATTAAGATAAGAAGCCATGAATGTAACTGGTTCGGCATCAGTGCATATTATTATTATTATTGTCTTCGTACGCAACGATTTTCGTTTCCAACCGGAGATAATGTAATATGGGTGTTCTCCATCAAATCGGACGACATCAGACTGAGGATACCTTCCGCAGAATATTTTCAGTGTCTAGCAACGCAGATTTAGAAGCGATGGGATACTAGGTTTTATATAGATTTTCTCAATATCAGACTAAGTTCGGTGTGTAAACCACAACGCCCTAATGATAACCGAGAAAAATGTCGCCTGAACAATCGAACTTCAGTCCGGGGTTTTGGTGTATTTCTTAATTTTGTCAATTTATAGTCATCAGGAACAGGGATAACGATGAGCGGGTGATATTTTCATTCTTTGTAAACAACGTTGGTGCCGGGTTTCGTGGCTTCAAGGGCGCTGTCTCTATGTTGAAATCCCATAACATTTTCATTTGGTCGTCCTCGATCACATTCTTCGACTTCTGGCGATACCAAATCTCGTGGACTTCAAGTCTTTACATAATTCATAGATACCAATGAAGTTGAGAGATCACATTACTACTGCTACTACTACTACTACTATTGAAGGTATTATGATATGTTGTGAAGGGTGTTGTGGCTCAGCAGTTTATTATATGGTTTGGTGAACTCAAGTACATGGTCTGTTTGGATGCCGAAATGCCACAAACACTTGACTTGGTCATTTTCGATCACCTTCTCTGGCTTGTGGCGATAAAAATTTCTCGTAGACTTCTCGTACATACATTATGATATGACACGGAGCGTGTTGTGGCTCGGAGATTTATTGTCTGATTTGGTGAACTTAAAGATGCTCTTTATTTGGATGCTGAATTTCCACAAGCTCTTGACTTGGTCACTTCTGATGGCCATCTCTGGCTTGTGGCGATAACATTTCGCATTGATTTCAATTCCATGCTTCTTAAATGGACGCCAATGAACACGAGAGACCCGGTTATTATTATTAAAGGAGGTATTAGGACATGCTGTGAAGAGTGTTATGGCTTGGAGACTTTTTGCTACTTCTCTAACCTAAAATATTCCTCCACATGAGAAAAGACGAAGGTGAGAACGTTATAGACTAGAAAC